GGCGCTCTCGGTGACGATGGCCAGGTAGCGCGCGTTGACGGCGCAGAAATGGTTGTCGTGGACGTTCTTGGTGATGGGAATTCCGTCGAAGCAGTGCTCCCGGCTCGCCGCCTTCCCGTAAACATTCCGGAACTTGGAGCTGCGGTACTGCGGCCGCCATGACATCTGCGGGAAAACACAGGGATCGACATTCCAAAAAAAAACATAAAAAAACCAAAACAAACAAATTCCTGGTTGTTGTCCTGTTTCCAGTCTGTTTTTTCCTGCCATGACATCTGTGGGAAAACACGGGGATCGGCATTCCCAAAAAAAACCCAAACAAACACATTCCTGGTTGTCCTGCTGTTCCCAATCTATTTTTCCTGCCATGGCATCTGTGGGAAAACACAGGGATCACCATTCCCCCCAAAAAACCAACTCCACATGTTCCTCATTGTTCTCTCGTTCCAAATCTGTTTTTTTCCTGCCATGAGATCTGCAGGAAAATAAAGGGATTGGCATTCCCCAAAAACCCCCAACTCCACATGTTCCTGGTTGTTCTCCCATTCCCAATCTGTTTTTTCCTGCCATGACATCTGTGGGAAAATACAGGATCGACATTCCCAAAAAAACTCCAAACCAACACATTCCTGGTTGTTCTCCCATTCCTAATCTGTTTTTTCCTGCCATGACATCTGCAGGAAAACACAGGGATCAGCATTCCCAAAAAAACACCCCACACATTCCTGGTTTTTCTCATGGTTTTATCTGGTGGAAGCATCGGGATGGACCTGATATGAGCATTCCTGAAAAATCTGAAGGATTCTCCCAGTGCTGGAATGGCTCCCAAAAGGCATGAAAAGGAGGCTCAGCATTCCCAAAAACCCCCCGTATTCCTGGTTGTCCTCCCATTCCCAATCTGTTTTTCCAGCCATGATAGCTGCAGTAAAACGCAGGGATCGTCATTCCCAAAAAAACCCCACATTCCTGGTTGTTCTTGCATTTTTACCATGGACATGGAAGGGATGGGATGGGCCCATTCCAACATGAACATTCCCAAAAAATTCAAAGCATCCCCTGGAGCGAGGAATGGCTCCCAAAAGGCTTTAAAAGAAAGCTTGGCATTCCCAAAAAAACCCTTCACATTCCTGGTTTCTCTCCTGTTTTTCCTGATGGGACACGGAAGCATTGGGATTGTCCCATTCCAACATGAGCATTCCCAAAAAATCTACGGCACCGCACCAGTGTGCTGGAAGAGCTCCCAAAGGCTCGGGAAGCTGCAGAATTCCAGCTGCTCTCCTTTGGAGCGGGAATGCTCATCCAGGACACGCCTGGGTGAACACGACAAAGGAATTCCAGCTTGGAATGTGATGGCTTGGAAATGGGTGACAGGAGAGCAGGAATTGGGGCAGGATGGGAGCGCTTAGGGATGGAGGGAACCTTGGGAATATTCCATTTTTCCACAGGTTTCCCTGCATGGAGCAGCACAGGATCCAGCAGGGATCCCAAGGATCCAGGAGCTGATCGTGGAAGCTCAGGGATCTGAAGGATCCATCCGCTCATCCTGGTGGGAAAGGACTCAGGAGTAAATCCCCAGCTCTGCCCTCATTTCCTGGGAACAGCAATGCCTGGAAAACCAGGAAAAGATCCCAGGAGTGAAAATCCATCGGCTCTGCCCTCATTCCATGGGAATAGCAATGTCTGGAAAACCAGGAAAAAATCCCAGCAGCTCTGCCCTCATTTCCTGGGAATAACAATGCCTGGAAAACCAGGAAAGTATCTCAGGAGTAAAAAAAATCGGCTTTGCCCCAATTCCCTGGAAACAGCAATACCTGGAAAACCAAGAAAAGATCCCAGGAGCTTTGCCCTCATTCCCTGGGAATAGCAATGTCTGGAAAACCAGGAAAAGATCCTGGTAGCTCTGCCTTCATTCCCTGGGAACAGCAATGTCTAGAAAACCAGGAAAAGATCCCAGGAGCTTTGCCCTCATTTCCTGGGAATAACAATGCCTGGAAAACCAGGAAACAATCCCAGGAGCTTTGCCCTCATTCCCTGGGAACAGCAAAGCCTGGAAAACCAGGAAAAGGTCCCAGGAACAACCCCCCAGCCGTGCTTGGACGTTTTCCCGCTTTCCTGGCAGCTCCGGCCTTTCCCGGGAGCGGCAGCGGGAGCAGCTCTTGTCTCCATGGGTTTGGCTTTTTCAAAGGATCCTTTCATCCCTCGGGAGTCTTGGAAACAGCGGGAACGAGGGAAAAATCGGGAAAGCAGCTCTGGCCACAACAACAGGCGGAGCCCCGGCCCTAATCCCGAAAAAACCTGGATATCCTAAAAATAGCTCCCGGTAATCCGCCCCGAGCGTCCGAGCTCACGGAGAAATTCATCCCTGCCTTCACCTGGAATTTTTGGGAGGAACAATTCCTCCCTTCCAGGTTTTTTTTTCCCTTGGAATTTTGCCCTTCCAGCGGCTTTTGTGTTGTCACCATGGTGCTTCCCGTGTTCCGAGGGTTTTTAGTGGGAATAAAGGGATCTTTGCTCGGGATTCGCTGTTTTTCTGATGGATTTTTTTTGTTGAGCCGCAGGAAAAAAAAGAGGGATTTGCTTGGAAAAATCATTGGGAAAAGGAAAACCAATGCAAAAAAAAAACTCTGGGGTTTTCAGGAAGGGGATCCAGGGCATGGAGCCTTTCCCAAATCCTGCTATTCCCAATTTTCCTGTTGTGATAAAAATTCCCTGTCAGGGATTTCTGGATAAAAATCAAGGCTGAGTTTTGTAGGAATTTTGGGATTTTGTAGAAATCCCACATCCAAGCTGATTCCAGCCCTGGGTGTGGGGTTGTTTTCCCTCCCTCTCTCCGGATCCAACACATCCCTGGAAGTTTTTTTCCATGGGAAAGGTCAGGAATGCTGGAGTTTGACATTTCCAGCATCAATGGCTCATTAAGGCTGGGCACAAACAGGAGCCGCTTTTCCAGAGGAAAATCAAGGATCTGGAATCGCCAGGAAGGAGCTGGAGCTGCCCAGTCCCACCCCAGGGACATCCTGCAATTTCCTCAAGGAGAAAACAGGGGGGGAAATGATAAAATTTGGAATTTTGGGGGGAAAAATCCATTCTGGACTCACTGCTGTGCCACATTCCTGGGAGGATTCCTGGAACAGAGCCATGATCCCAAATTTCTGGTGGATTCCACATGGAAGCTGTGCCTGGGAGCATCAGGATCGAGGGATTTGGGATGAAATCCCAAAGGATTTGGTCCGTTTGGGAATGGATTTGTGGTGATCCCAGATCCCACCCAGCTGGAGCCAGGAGATATTTTGGGACTGATATCCTAGAATATTTTAGGATTGAAATCCAGAGGTGAAATCCAGGCTGGAAAATCTCAGAACGTGCTGGGAGAGCCCCTCCAAATCCACCTCCCCATCCCAATCCAGGAATTTTTTCCATTGGGAGGGGAAGACTCAGGAGCAGGAGCTGGCTGGAATTCCCAATCCAGCCTCACCACAGGGCTGGAATTCCCAATCCAGCCTGGCCATGGTTTTGGAATTCCCAATTCAGCCTGATCACGGGTTTGGAATTCCTGATCCAACCTCCCCACAGGGCTGGAATTCCCAATCCAGCCTGGCCATTGGAATTCCCAATCCAACCTCACTGTGGGTTTGGAATTCCCAATCCAACCTTGACACTTCAATCCAAGAGGGAAAACTCAAAGGAATGCCAGGAATTCCCTTCATCCCCAGGGATCTCCGGAGCGGAGCCGGCCCCAGGGGAGGCTCTGGGCTGGCTTGGGATGAGTTTTCCATGGATTTTGTCGCAGCCGGGTGGGAATTCCCGGCTCCGGACACTCACCAGGCCGCGCTTGCTCCCCAGCACCTCAGACTTGTGCAGGTCCCTCATGGAGCTCTGTGCGGAGAAGGGAAAGGAAAAAATTCCATTCATTTCCCAGGAATTCCAGGGAAAACACCCGAACCCTTCCTGCTGCTCCGGAGGGCCGGGATCCGCCCCCAGCAGGGAATTTTTGCCGGTTCCAACCCCATTTCCTCCTCCCATGTGGAATTTTGGAAAATTCCACGTGGCCGCCAAAGTTCTTCTGGGGGGGGAGAAGGAATTCCATAAAAATCATGGATTTATAGTTTAAAAAAGCGGGATTATGGGATATTGGGAAGGAATTCCCGGAGAAGACGGGGCTGCCCCTGGATCCATGGAATGTTCAAGGCGAGGTTGGATGGGGCTTGGAGCAGCCTGGGATAGCGACAGAATCCATGGAATGTGAGAGGTGGGATAATTCCAGCTGGGAATCTCCCAGCTGAGGTTTTTCCAGCCTGGAAGTGCCTGGGATTTCCCTGGATTTTGACTTTTCAAGGATTTTGACTTTCTCGAAATCCTGGGAATGGTCTCTCCTCTTCCCAAACACTGGGAGAAAGCTCCAAGCGATTCCCAGGAATCCTCATCCCTCCTGGATCGTGGAGCTGCTTCCCAAGTTCCCACAGATCTCATGGAATTCCCGGAAAGGTGCAAAAACCATCCCTGGCACCCTCAGGGAGCCGAGGTTGGATCATTTTTCCACCTGGGAAAACTTCTGGAGGAGGAAAACCAAACTTTCCCAGGCCCCACGTGCCGAGAACAATCCCAGAATTCCCCCTCTGGAAAAAATTCCGGAAGCAAGGCCAGCTGTCCTCCCACTCTGTTTTCTGAGTCCTTCCCACCTCGGGAAGCTCCGGATGGAGAACAAAACATTCCCAGCCCCCGGAGCTGCCCTGGGTCACCACCCCCGGGAATTTCCTCTCCTCCAGCTCCTTGGAATTTCCTTGAGGGGAAAAAAGAAAATTCCAGGCTTTTCCCCCGATTTTTCCCGTTGGAATGAGCATGAGCCAGGGATTCATCCATGAGAATTCTTTCACATCCCATCCCAAATCCTTGGATCCAACGGGATTTTCCAGCCAGGATCCAGCAGTTTGGATCTATCCCAAGAAAAAGCCTCCAGTGGGAAGATCCCATCAATCCAACCATTCCCAAAGTCAGATTTTTAATGGGAAAAAGGGGGGAAAGCCACTTTAGAGTGGGAATTTAAGGGATGGAATTATCAAGGAAAAGGGATCCCACAGGGAAAAAATTCCTTTGGGAGATGCCAGGTGGGAGAGGATGAAAAAATTCCAGGAAAAAATCCACCTGAAGCAGAAACATTGGGATAGCCTGGAAAAATTCCCTTTCCAAGCCCCAGCTTTGCACAGGACAGGGAAATTTATTTATCTGGAAATTTCTTTTTCCTGGGATTTTTCCAAAGCAGGGGACAGCGCTCCGGGAAGCAGCTCCCACAGCTCTCCCTTTCCACGTAAAAAATTCCAAATATTCCCGGGAACGAACACTCTGGCGTGGCTCCAAACCCCAAATCCCAAAAGGATTTCTTGGGAAGTTTCTCCCAAGCTTTCCCTGCGGAAATCAAGGAACGCAAACGGCCAAATCCATCCAGAAAAGAAGGAAAACAAGCGGGATCCAGCCGATATTCCAGGCTGCACATTCCCGTTTCCC